CCTGAAATATGAAATTTGTGAAGTGAAGAACAGTGTTAGTTATAGAATGAAAAAAAGAGGAAATAAAAAGTATTAGATCAGAAACACAAAAATTTCTCAAGCTAGCGGGCCTTATAGGATGGTCCCGGCATTGACAGAAACAGTGAAGTCAGAAGGAAAAGCTTAGGAGTGGGACAGGGACATGATGAGTGCAGTGCGAATTGTATTGATGGTGAGATGTCAACAGAATAACCAGGTGGGATGGTGGCTCTTGGAGAGTTACAGTACAAAGAGGGTATAAAGATATTTTCCAACATGAGCTTTAAAGCATCAGTATGAAAATCACAGTGTAGGTGAGAGTGTGGCAAGAAATAGATTAGGTCATAGATCTCCCTCTTCAAAAGTCACTAAGAGCATAGTCAGCATCAAACTAAGAAGTTCTTGATTTAACACTAGAGTGAGAAGGATTTGTGAATACTGTGTAACTTAAAACATCTATATTCCCCACATATAACGATAGCCATTTGGGGTGTCCTTAAAATAAGGCCAGCCCAAAATTGGCACTCAATAAATATTTGTTGAGTGAATTCATGTCCATGAATTTTTTTAAGGTCTAATTATTGATCTAGGGGGAGAAAAGAATTTCATGGCCCCCTATTTTCATTATTTTTTGGTAAAAAAATACATAATATAAAAGTTAATCATTTTCACCATTTTAAAATGTACAATTCAGTGGCATTAATGAGATTCACAGTGTTGTGCAGATGTTTTCATCACCCCTACTTACCGCCTGTCCCCTCTCCCCCAGCCCCAGGTAACCTCTAATCTACCTTCTGTGTCTACCGATGGCCTGTTCTGGGTAGTTCGTCTTAATGGAATTACAGTCACATAATAGTTTTTTTTTTTTCCTCTTTATTGTGGTAAGAACACTTAACATGAGATCTACCCTTCTAGTGAGATTTAAATTTTTTTTTAATCACAACATTGTTTATTATGTGAATTTTTCACAATACAAACAAAAAAATACAGAAATGCAATATATGAATACAGCTAAATGCAGAATGGTGACTTTTTTTTCTTTTCAGGAGGCCATGATTCTCATTTCTAATAAAATAAAGAGACTGCAAGTAGGTAGAAATAGGTTGGTTGGTCGTTAGCTTCACAATTTTGCCTAGAAATGATCTATAAATGCATTTTCCCCCCTGCTACTTACCATAAAGTGTAAAAAGGGAATTAAAGGAAAGTTTCCTTATTGGTTCCTACCATATGAAAGATGCTATATTCTATTTTAGCGGGGCCAACATATGGAAAATATCTAAATTAAATGTTATTACAAAAATGAAACAGTAATGAGATTCTGGCTAAAGAGGGCACTAAATGAAAATAATAGTTACAACGTGGTAAAATCCATCTTGAGAGCTGATTTATCTTATTTAACTCAAACTTTATTCCTGTTGAGTAGTAATGCCCCATTTCTCCCTTCCATTCTGGTCTTTGATTTTCTGAATTTGACTGTTTTACTTACCTCATGGAAGTGGAATCATGTAATACTTCTTTTTGTGTGTCTCACAGCCCCGTTTTCTAAGGAAAGGTAAGTGGAGAAGGAGGGGAAGAACTTTTAGTTATACTTAAGCTGAGAATGCTTATCGAAGTACTTATCTCCAATAGAAAATAATGTTATAACTCTAGTTGCTTTAGAGTTTACAACATGCCTCCATGTTATTTCATTTTTACAGCCTCCTCGTGAAGTAGGGCAAGAATTATTACCTGTATATCACATAAAGTGATGCGCAGAGGTACTGGGCGGCTTGCTCCTGAAGACATAACGAATATGTTACACTTAAGTCTCAGGTCTCTTGATTGAAATTAGAAACCTAAGAAACAAACAAAATAATAATCACTAATAATTATTTATAGAAATCATTGATTGGGCTAAAAAAAATGGGAGCTTTAACATTTCTGTCTTCAAGCAAGATACAACTTCCATATGAAACTATAAAATATTGGTAAGTAAAAAAATAAATGAATCATCTAATGAGTAGTTAACTCATCAAATAGTTCCTTAATAACACTCATGTATTTGACTTGAGAGTATAATCAGAAATTATCTATATTTGAAGATGCTAAAACTGTAGTTGATGGAATAAGCCAGAATTTACCAACATTTCAAAAATATAGATGCCTTTCCAAATATTATTTTTAAAAAGTCCTCCAAATAATGAAAATAATGATGAATAGATTGTCACAGAGCAAAATAAAATAATGGATACCTTTTGAAAGATTATGTTGCTTTTAAGTGTATGATGAGTATTTGAGTAGAAACTAGGACTTGCATATATTTTCTCAGAAAACTTGAAGGGAAAGTCTTGGAAGGATTTTAAGCCTCCAAGAGGACGTGATTGGCTCTGGTCCCTATATAGTTGAATTTCTTCAAATTTTGCTTTTCAGTGAATCTTTAATATAATCTTCAATACTTATACTTAGTAATTTCAATAAAATGTTCATTGTAATAAAAAGTGAAATCAGGTGGAATAGTACATTAAATTCTTGGGTCGTTGTTAATCTCATCAGTGGGAAGCCTGATGGTTAAAATCAGAAAGTTGAAATTGCTCATCAGCCATTCAGGACGTTCTGGCCCTGCGTGCTCTGATTTAAAAAAATAAAGTTCAGAATTGTGCAGCCTCAGTGTGTTTCTTCTAAAGCTTAAGAGTACCTGATATATAGAAAGGAAATGGCAAAGTATAATCAGCAAGATTAAAACTTTTGCTTATGAATACCTAGTTGATTTTCCTGCTTTGCTTAATTTCTAAAGACAGCTCTCTGTACTCTGTCAGTGAAACAAATGGAAAAATCCCAGCCTGAGGTCACCTGATAACTCTGTCAAGACTTCATGTAACATTCTGAAGGCCACATTTCAGACAGAGATTTATACTTACGTAGTTTTAAAATGATAGTCAATAAGAAAATCTTGAAAAGACACTAATTTACTTTGTTGTCAGTTCTACCAGATGTGCATATATCTTATATGTGTATGTGTAAAATGATATAATGTTTCTAGAGACATCGTAATTTCCCACTGGTTTATTCTGTGACTCTTAGATTGCCATGTTGTTTTTCACGGCTCCTGCAGTTAACAGTGACGTGCATTTGAATTAATCTCTACAACATCAGTAAAACAATACTCTGTAATTTGGACAAAAACATAGGAGTGGTAAGGGCGGGGATGCAAAGCAAGGTTCATTAATAATTTCCAGTCTTATTGCTTCTCATCTAGTGTGTTCTTCTGTCGTAGTCAACCTGGGGACTTGGGTGGAGTGGATTTGGGTAAGCTGGAGAACTTGAAGCTCCAATAGAGGAGAAGCTGTCAAGATGACTGATGTGACCTCGGAGCCTAAAGACAGAATCTGGCACGTAATAGGATCTCATTCATTTGTTCAGCAGCTATTTATTGAGGGCTTACTATGTGCCAGACATTATTCAAGGAAAGGCAAATCTATCATTGAGCAAAACATATAATAGTCATTGTCTTTTGGAATTTGTATTTCAGTAGGAGAAAAAAATAAGCATAATAAGTAAAGCATTTAGAATACTAAAAGATGATGTGCTATGGAAAAATAGCATAGCTGGGTAAGAAGGATGGGGAGCATAGACGTGATGGGACAATTGAGATTTTAATTGAAGTGACCAGGATAGGCAACAACGAGATGATATGTGAGCGAAGATTTGAAGAAATGGGGATGTGAGCCATGTGACTATCTGGAGACTATCCCAGGCAGAGGGAACCAAGAGTGAAAAGGTCCTGCGGTGGGAACAAGACGAGTGTTTCAGAGGAACCGGAAGAAGCCAGTAAAGCTGACACAGAATGGGAGTATGAAGGTTTGTTTAAATAGGTCACATTAGGGGGAGCACATGGTGTAGGGCTGTGGAGACCACCCAAAGTTTCAGCTTTACTTTGAGTGAAATGGAGAGACAAGATGGTGTCAGGTTTTAAACAGGAGAAACACAATCTGCTTTACGTTTTAACAGATCAGTCTGGCTGCTGTGTGGGAATAGATGGGGGCAAGGAGAGAAGCAGGAAGGCCTGCGGGGAGGCTGCGGAATTATCCAGGCGGGACATGACAGCGGTTTAGACGGAGCTGTGAAAGCAGTGAGAAGTTTGCTTATCCACCTATTCGTTTTACAAATTACAGTTGAGGGTGTTTTTTGTCAGGCACTGTTCTAAACACTTTAAATATCCACACGTCCTTATTTACTTGGCATAATGTGGTAGGCTGAATGCTGCCCCCCACCAAGATGTCTATCCTAATGCCCAGAACCTGTGAATATGTTACTTTACATTGTAGAAGGGACTTGGCCGAAGGCCGAAAGGCCGGAGTGTTGAGGAGGAAAGGGCCAAGGGCCAGCGAGTGCACTAGCCTCCGAGAGCTGGGAAAGGCAAGGGAAAGGCTTCTACCCAGAAGAAACGCGGTCCTACTATCGTCTTGGTTTTTCCCAGTGAGTCCCCATTGTAGACCTTTGACCTCCAGACCTGTAAGGTAAGAAAGTTGTGTTGTTTTAAGCCACTAGGTTTGTGGGGATAGCTTACAGCAGCAATAGGAAACTAATACAGAAAATAAGATTACCAAATAAATGCATAGCAATCATATGACTCTGCTATAATGTACTTAACCACACCCGTACTGTAAAAATTTTAGATTGCTTCCATTTTTTTTCTTGTAATAAATGCTGAAGAGACTGTCCTTATGAATAAATCTCGACACACACTTCTGATAATTTTCTTAGGTTTGGAAATGGAATAACTGCTAAAAATGATTGATTTTTATGTTTTAAAATAGAGAGTAGAGAGAATCATACAACAAACAATATTCACACACCAAGATTAATTAATTAACACTAGTTTTTCATATAATAAGTAAATAAGTAAATAAATAATAAATAAAATATAAGTGGTAGAGATTAAGTGCCCCTTAGTCTCCTTCACCTTTCTGCTTACCTACTTCCATCCCTTCCAAGACAGATTGACAAATATGGAATGATTCACAGATGTGTGAGCCATCCTTGCACGTCGGCTGTGTTTACCTTCTCCGTGCTGTTCCAATTTTAGTATAATACATAATTAACAAAGCAAGCACCAGGGTTTTCTTTCAATTAAAAACAAAACAAAACAAAACAAAACAAAAAAACTTGAAGAAACAAAGCCAAGGTCATAAATTATAGCTTGTTTATGACAATAACATTTTTAGATTCAAAAATATGAATCTTCATGAAAGTAAAAGAAGCATTAAGAGAAAGAAGAATAAGAAAAAGGCTAAAATGAATAATGAACTGATCATCACTGTTGTTTTCTAAATGTGCATCTGATGGTCTCTGTTTATTTTATCTTATATTCAGAGTATTAAAATATAAGTTAAATGTATGAAATCTTCAAATTATGCACTTATAGGAGCCATTTCTAATTTTGTCACAGTTCCCAAATTAGTCAGATTGGCCTGCATTCTGAACTGGGAAGAAAAGGATATTGTGTCCTTTACTGTAATTTTACTGTTTTATTAGGGTGTCACAGTGGCTACTTTACAATCTAATTTGATAATAGGCCCCTTTGTCCAGCTCGGCTGTAATTTGAGCAAGCCTCTACTTAAGCAGAACACAACTCAGTTATGAGGATGAAAATTCATTCCTACTTAGGATATCATAAAACTAGAATTTTGATTTAATGAACTTACCAAATAAAAATGTCTCAAATATAAGATTTTCTCAAGATCTGTAATTTTTAAATAACATTCCAAATTGCATATATGACACTGTCAGTTTATATTGAAACAATCATTTCGATTCACTTGGGAGAACAATTCTTTTATTCTGATCACTCTATTCTAGCACAAATTTTTAGATAATTTATGCATTAACCACAAGATACAAATTACTACCAATAAAAGGTATACATTTTCCTACAAAATATCCCAAATTCCTATAAAATACCTTAAATAAGCAAAAGCCTAAAAACTAGTATTTGTGTAATACTTGAAACAAAATATTTATTAATGTTTTACATTTCATAAAAAACTAACATATACTGTCTTCTCAGATGAAGCTATGAACAATGTAGTTTGTTTATTAATTTGATAGAAATTTTTTAAAGAGTGGTAATGAATAATTAAATAATAGATGTCTGTATATTTTATTTCACACACAATGGGAGATTATATCTGTATTTAAAGGGCTAGTCTTTTTCCTGAGATAGAAATTATATCTCTCTTTAAAAAATAAAAACATGACTAATCAGCTTCCCCATACAAATATTTTTTACTTATTCTGATTCATGCAACAAGAGAGAGAAAAGTTCTCAGAAATGTCTCCAAAAAACCCTAAAAGTGAAACTTGTTTTAGAATTGAAAGGATTTAAGCTGTGACTGATAATAACTCATAACCAAGGAGGAGCTATTTAATGAGATGGGCTTGTCTTTTACTTGGCTATTACTTTCTAATTCTGAATTACAACACCTTGCGTTACATAAATGGATTTAATCTTAGAGGGATGTGCTTCATATGCAATTTATAATTTATGTTTCTTACTGTCTAATCTGAGTAATAAGAATGTAGAAACTTAGATGCTAGAGGTTTTTTTTTTTTAAGAAAAACATCATGTATTATTTTATATATGTATTTTTCTTTTTCTTTTAAGCTTACTGTCATTTACCATGAAAAAATGAGAGATAGTAAAAAAAATGCATTTATACGCATATGTATGCCTTTACTCTAAGACTGTTTTTCAAGTGTGATGTTAGGGTGACTTGCATCATTTTATCACCTAAAGAGCTCTTAAAAAATTAGTTTCCCACGTTCCACCTCAACTCAGACTCATTGAATCAAAATCCCCAGGCAGGGATATGAATCAGCAATATGCATTCAAAGCATTCATACTTGGTGATACTGATGGGGATAGGTCAAGGAGGATCTCAAAGTGGTGCTTTATGGGCTCATGTCACATTTTCTAAGGTTTGTTCTATAGAGCTTTAAAGTCACACTAATATAATGCCAGATGTGTATCTATCATATAGTTTACAAGGCATATTTTTCAACTGATTGATAATTTACAGATGGCAATGATGATGGATTTTTAAGTATCACTAAATTAGTTCAATTCCTACTTTGATAGGAGGGCAGTCAAAGTTACTTAAATGCCGACTGCTATATGAACTTGAGTGACAACCTTGGATTAGGTGTTATGCAACGCTGATATTATTGTCTGCGTTATTTCACGTCCTCCTTTAATAAACATAAAAAACGCACTCCTTTCTCATGAAGATTCTGAGATGACCCTGCCAGCGTGTGTCAGTTGTGCCCTGGCCCATCAAGGGTCATGACCTTTTTCGTATTCTCATTAGTTCAGATGTTATTTTTTGTAGGTCGTATTTTAAAAAGCAGATTTTCCTTCCTTTCTAAATATAGGATGATAATATCAATTTTTTTTCCTGTCTACACAGCTTTCTTTCCTCCAAATATCCCTTAGCCCTGCAAGAAGTACCAGTGTGCTTACCTGTAGAGAATCACATGTCCATAAAATACTATCATATGTTTAGATGCAAGTTGCCATTATTAATCATGGGACCAGTTCCACAGTTTACAAGATTGTCTCCACAAGTCATGTGCTTAGCTGATGATATAAGACTCTGGGGTATCACTTGGAGTGGAGAAAGAGATCACTCTGTAGGTATAACTCCATGACTATCCTTTGATGATGTTTTCCCTGTATATCTCTCTGTCCTCTCTCTGGAATCATTCCGCGGTGCCGTCTCCAGAAACTATTTCACATGTCAGTTATATGTGGCCGTCATTTGCTAATATACCTCTCTATCGAGACCATGCTCCTTTCTCACAGCTTTTCAAAGATCTTCCGAGTCTTTAAAATGCAACCTCCTGATTTTTATCTTTCAGTGCGCTTTCCTCCATTCAAGCAGGAGTTCCTTCGTTCTCCTGTCTTCACTCGTTCTCTACCTCCATATTTAGATACTGCCAAGGAAAATTGGCAGTATCTAAATATTGTGTGTGTCCTCTGTCCTGTAATGAAAACATTTCTTGTGTGGACTTTGATCCAGGTTGACCTGTATCAGGTAAATTCAAAAGTTAATCCTCAATTCCTATAAAGTATATCTCTTTAGTTTCCATGGCACACAGAAGAAAAGATGATGATCTTTTCAGCATCAGTGCAAAATACTTTATAGTCCATAAATGAGGAAAAGTAAGTAGGTAATGATCATCTAAATCCAATACATTAGAAAACTCTTACCCCTAGGTGTAACAGGATTTATGTGTTATGGAATATTTGCTACCTACATGATGACAGCATAAGGGGTAAGATTTCTTATTTGGGAGAGCTGCTTATTTTATCGAAGGCCTAAAATAGATATGGAAATCCAGATTTTCAAAACCTAAGTCATATTTACTGATGAAAAGACAAAGCATGAAGGAGAAATAGTAAAGTGAACTGAAACTAAAATGAAAATGAAAACTATTAGAAACTTTAATATAAGAAAGTCACTGAAATATTTTCAATACGCTATATCAGGAAGAGAAAGTAGCAAATAGCTAAAACTAGTGAGGCAGTACTAAAAACCAATAAGGAGGAAAATCTTCCTTAAAAAAAAAAAAAAAAAAAGAGAGATGGATGATTTAATCAGGACAACTAGAATTAAATCAGAAGAAGAGAACACTCACAGGTACTAAAATAAGTCAGATCAGATTCTGTAGAGCTAGGAAAAAAATGGGTTATTGGATTCTTTAATAATAAATGGAATCCTCTAAGTATTAAAAGAAACTAGTCGACTTTTCCAGTTATGTGTAAAAAGCATTCGTTAACAATAGACCATGATCCATCAGTAGCATTTATTCAATTTTTTGATGCAGTAAGAGATTCTAAAGGCTCTTTTTGCCTTTTATTACACAAATTATACTGTGATTTCTCTGTCGATTTAAATAGGTCATAGAATACCTGAGTTTGAATGTTCCTTCATTTTGTGCAGAATTTTAACAAATACTGTGTATTTTAATGAATCAGCCATAATTAAATAATACCAACGTTCCACCACCAAAATAGAATGACAGTAAATTTCTATATATTTGAAAATACCTTACTCTGAGAAACTCAACAGGAATCTGTAGGAAAGCTCAAAGTGGATAATAATATATTACCTGAAGGTCATTTTTATTGCTCTTGCAGTTTATGGTACTAATCTTATTTATTAAATCTGTATAATAATATCCCATGTATTTCCATGAAATATCTGTCACCCTTTTCTATCTCTGGTTAATTAATAGGATAGTTTTAGGTATGCACCCAATGTATAATACCATTGATTATATTTTTCTTTTGACAATCTTTTTTCTGACATAAATATAATTTCAGTAGTGTTATGAACTAAAAAGGTATTTTAGACTGTCTTGGCAACTTATTAGGGCATTAATATACCCCGTAACATATATCACATTATATTTCCTATAGAAATATTTGTTCTAGGTTAAAATTTGTGAATGACAGACTTAGACTTGTGGCGCACTCTGTCTCCTGATCAGGATTTTGCATCTTCCTCTCTTACAAGACACTGGCTAGGTCTACCTGGTTTTAAAACATCACAAAGTCTTTTTATCAAACTTGATCATATCATCTCCATCAGCTCTCTCTGAAAGCTATTTTAAATGTCTTTTCATTTAAAATGGGGATTTCTCATTAGGTTACTCTGAACTAATTTCCTACAAATTTGTTCACTAATCTTCTAGTACAATAGAATTTATCTAATACTTATTTAACAGAACAAGAAAGAACAGAAATAGTCTTTAACTTTAGAAATATTAGTTCAGATCTTCTGAGGATCACATGGGAGGAGAATATGATCTCTTGCAAAATTTTGGATTTGTCTTTTCATTCTGACCAAAAAAGGGGGTACCGTTAAGAATCCTCGAGATGAATGTGGTTGACATTAGCTTGTTTATATGCGTGTGTAAAAACTTGCTGGAGCCATCAAGTTTCACTTGACAGAGTGTACAGCTTGAAAGTTTCACCACACCCATTCTTGACTTCTCAAGCTTTTGCATCACGTTGCATATGCAACCCTGCCTCTTGCATATGTTGA